ACGGTCATTGGACCAAATTTTGGTGCTTTTGGCAAAAGTTGCTCTCATCAGAAAAGAGGATTTTGGACCAAGGAGCAACAGGACTTTGGACCACTGTGCTTCCTTAAGACCAAGGTCAACTCAGCCATCTACCACTATCTTGCTTTGCATGTAAAGAGTCTTATCTCATATATTAGTTTCACCTTTTAAGTTGCATTACTGAAATAAATGAACTTTTGCACGATATTCTAATTTTTTGAGTTTCATCTGCATAATCCCCCCTCCCATTTTTTCCCACAGTATAAAATGTGGCAGGCCTGAAGGCCCAATGGCTTCCAGGTTTGACATGTGAGACAACTCACCATGACCAATTGACCACTGAACAAGGACAAAATGAAATCTGAATGACAAAAATTAAAATATTTTTTAATTAGACAATTAAATTGCACTGTTGAATTGTCCTGCGGTTGAGTTTTTCCACGGAGAATTGGCCGTGGCAAGTTGGCTGTGTAATGCCTTAGCTGTGGCCAATTGGCCAGGGGGAGTTGTCCCATTCTACTTTGAGGATTCAGATTCAGAAAGTAACCCAATCGATTACATTTCATTGGGATTGATGGAGCTCATTTCAGAGTATTTCAGGGGTACCAAGAAGCTGCACGCAGTCATGAAAATGGTTCAAACTCTGCTTGATTTAAGCCGATCTATTTCTTGCATAAACCAAAGGCTTCATTTTAGAAGAATGACCCTTTTTGTTATATTCCTTCCTCCACCCCCGCAGTGAGGTTTGCTAACAAGCATCACAATACACCCTAGAAGCCCAAGAGAAAGTGAAGGCAGGAGAGGAAAGTTTTGTAAACAGGTAAATGAAGTGCAAAAAAATATCTTCTTTGCAGAATGAATGAATATGAATATATATATATATATTCTGCAAAGAAGATTTTTTTATATATATATATAATTATTTTGGCATTAATTACATGCAGCTTCCAGGACTAGTTGAAAGCTATGTTCTTTAATAATGCATCTGAGGTTTCACGTCCTTTCAGATGTTACTGAATATTAGCTTCAGTATTGTCAGGGTCTCAGCGTAACTCTGACCTACATAGCTATTTGTCCAAACCTGTTAAGCCAAATATTAATAATTCAGCACAGAACTCTGAAGCTTCATGAAACCAGGGATAATTAGAGAAACTGAGTTTTCCTTACCAATTTTTTCCTCTTTCTCTTCGGTCCCTCCTTTCTCTGCTCCAAGTTGTTGGAAATGAATTTCTTGTGCAAAATCTGTCTTGTACGAGTTTGTGATCAGTGGTGGGATTCAAATAATTTAACAACCAGTTCTCTGCCCTAATGATCAGCTCGATAGGCGTGGCTCAGTGGTCATGTGACCATGTGGTCGTGGCAAACTCAAAAATAACTCAGGTCGATGAGCTCTTCATCTTAGCTGTTACAATGTAAGGGTTAACCGGAGAGGCAGTTTCTGTAAGCAGGGCAATAAATATTAGGCTAGAAACAACACCAGAATGTTTCCTGCCTGCCTTCCTTACAAGATTAGCCCTGTAAAGTGGAAGAAAACAAAATGAGATTTCTTCCAACAATCGGTTCTCTGAACTACTTAGAAAGTTACCAACAGGTTCTCCCGAATAGGTGCGAACTGGCTGAATCCCACCACTGGTTGTGATATGTGAGGTGTTTGGATTTGCTCCTATTTTAATTTCTAAATTTTCTCATCCTCATTTAAATTGGAATTAAAGAAAAAAAAAGATTTAGCTGTGGGTACAACCTCGCAATTAACCAAATGTCCTTTTTTAAATGTTTAGTCAGTTTCAGTTATTGAATTAATCCACTGGAAATAGCTTGATTTCAGCATAGTCCAACTCAATCATGTCATTTTTTTAGTTAAAGCAACAAGTTTCATGTTTGAAGGGATATTTCTGACAGGAAGGAGATACTTCTAAGAAGATCCCCCCCCCCCTCAAATAAGCATGCATGATCTAAAAATAAAAACAAAATCTATGAAAATCTTGAAAGAAAGTTTTTAACAAATCCGTTGTTGTATTTGTGTCATGATCCATGCTGATTGGGTACGGCAAGATTCATTGTTGATTGATCTGAGTTTATGTAACTGAATTACAGCTCTAAAATTTTGGACACGGCCGTCGGAGAGGACAGTTCAACCCAGAAAGCTGTGCTTACTTATTCTTTCCCTCCTAGTAGTAAATCATTTTGCTTCCAGATGGGATCCTTCCTTCTGCAAAAGATTGCATCAACAAGATATAGTTCCTGTGTAACTGATATTTATGAAGAAGATTGCCTGAGCAGATGATAATTGACAATGTTGTGATTTATTTTTTTTCTCTTGCTGCCTTGGAACACGGCCCATACTATATTTTAACTACACACTGATAGTGATCTATTGTGAGTAAAAACGGGTTCTTTGTAACCCAGAGTACAGTCTGATCTGTCTTTCTCCAGTGGAGAGTATCCATTTGTTCAGTATTCTTCTTCTTCTTTTTTAATGTTGCATGAAGCAGTGGCGTCTTATTACCCCCCCTCCCACCAATATGTTTTATGCCCATGGAAGCTGGGGCAACGTTGGGATAAAAAAAACCCAAATCCAGCAATATTTCTTCGTTTTCCTTTGGCTTTGTACCTCTCTCTTCTCCTGTTTTGTCCCCTTCTGATCAACTGTATTTTCAATAACTGAAAATCAGAACGTTACGGCAACCTAGACAGAATTGATTAACAATTCAAGAAAGCATTGTATCTGTTTGCTTGTTTGTTTGCTTGCTTGTTTACTACCTGCTTTAAGCCAACTTAATGGTTGGACGAGGGACTGAAATGATAGAAATGGAGGCAGGACTACAGTATAAACCTGTCATTTTCTCTCTCTGGGAAATCCCCTTGGATGATTCTTCTAAGCAATGCAAGGAAATCTATTTTAAGATTACAGATAGTCCTCGACTTACGACCACAATAGGACCCCATTGCTCAGCAAGGCAGGTGTTAAGTGAGGTTTTGCCCCATTTTATGACCTTCCTTGCCGCCGTTGTTCAGTGAAACCCTGCAGCTATTAAGTTAGTCACACGGTTGTTAAAGTGAATCTGGCTGCCCCATTCACTTCGCTTGTCGGAAGGCCACAAAAGGGGACACCACAACTGTCATAAATAGGAACCAGTGGCCAAACGGCTGGATTTTGATCATGTTGGGAGATGTTGCAACGGTAGTCCATAAGTGCGAAAAATGGTTGTAAGTCACTTTTTTCAGTGCCGTTGTAACTTTGAATGGTCACTAAATGAACTGTTGTAGGCCAAGAACTGTATTTCTTAGGTGGCAGGATTTGTTAGTCAGGGGTGGAGGCCATGCCTGATAGCCAACCAGTTAAAAAGGATGGTCCAGAATTGATGCGCCAATTCGTCTGAAGTTCTGTTCTTGTGCCAAGAAACCAGTGGAGCACCACTTGCCGGGAGCACCAGGTACCGTTCCGGCATGGTGCTCCGGAGGGCCCACCTGCCTGCCCGCGCTCCTTACTGGTAATTGAGATTTCCGGGGCTTCTGTGCACGGAGTGTACGGCGCCTGCGTGATGCTCCGCCGAACAGCTGGAGCATTGTGGAGGCATCACGGGCGGTAAGTATGCATGTGCACGCACTGTGCGCATTCATGTGGTGGATGCCTGGCACCATTGCACCGTACCAGTTGCAACGGGATCTGGAACCCACCACTGAAAGAAACTTATTCTTGGCTTATTAAGGCTTATTAACCAAGGCCTATTAAGCCTCCTTTTCTGATGTTATGTTCTAACAAAACTTGAGTTTAAGTTAGATGGGTTAAATTAGACCCACAGATAACTGGTTTTACAACAGTGATGGCAAACCTTTTGCCACTGAGTGCCCAAACCAGAATGTGTGTGCATTCCAGAGCACTGGAAACCCCAAAACCAGCTGGCTGGTGCACATGCGCCTGCTAGCCACCTGGTCTTCTAGTTTCTGGCACATGCATGCACACCAGCCAGCTGATCTTTGGGTTTCCAGGGCTCCAGTACACATGGAGATCAGTTGGCTGGCATGCATGTGTGCACCGCAAACCAGAAGAGCAGATGGCGATGGCGCCCTTGCCCACAGAGAGAGCTCTGCATGCCACCTCTGGCACACGTGCCTTAGGTTCACCATCATGGTTCTAGAGTGTAAACAAAAGGAGGGAAATTGTTTGGAGATTCTCAGGTCTTTGTAATCAATAATTACTGAATGATTATTTGCTGCACATCTGATAAATCCCTGTGTGAATACATCAGAATATCTTTGGTGATATTGCTCTCTTCTTTTCTTTCTTTCTTTTTTTAACTGCACACTGTGCACTGGGGAGATTAACCATGTATGGCTCTTCCGTAATTTCAAGAGTTATCTTCCACCAAAATGTTGCTGGTCTTAGAAAAAAATAGCCATGGCTTCTGTCTAGAAGCAAATAGCCGTAAGTCAGTTTTCCGCATCAAAGTTCTAAACCAGATCAAACTTCCATTAAAACACACACACACACACACACACACACGTGTGTGTGTGTGTGTGTGTGTGTGTGTGTGTGTGTGTTTTATTTGTGCTGATAAATAAATAAAGGGAGACTAGTATAGATCTATTTCAAGCTATTTAGCTCTCATCAGCTAGCCATACCCTTACTACAGCACAGTTCGAATCCCAGTAAGGGTATGGCTAGCTGATGAGAGCTAAATAGCTTGAAATAGATCTATACTAGTCTCCCTTTATTTATTTATCAGCACAAATAAAACACACACACACACACCACACACACACACACACACGTGTGTGTGTGTGTGTGT